TGTAATAAGCCTGGATGCTTGGTACCTACTATCGTAGTACTGACAGTAGATAAGTGGCAACCAAGTTATTATAATTGCAGGTCGCAGACACTTTATTTGATGTTGTAGTCGTGGTAGACAATGAATGATAAGACAGATGTAATATATTGTGAATTTTTATTATAACGTTCGATAATTTTTCTAAGTCCAAATAATATTCTACAGAGTGGCGTGAAGGTGCTTGCACTAATGGGTGGTAATACACGTCTGAATACAGGCCGATTCGGGCTCCCTTATATATGAGGTTCCCCGTACCCCTTGCCTACATATGCGATATCTCCGTTCTCACGGATGTCGCTCGTATAGTCATCATTCTAGCCCACGCATTGACGATTGAATATTTATCCGATTGAATGTATTACTAACTTGTGTTTAGTCATTTTACTCTTTAATATTTTAAATTCATCGTATGCGTCCAGTATTTCTGTCAAAAATGACGAATGACTATTTTAGCCCTCTCGTCATGAGTTATTCAGTGAGCCTGATCTCCATAGGTTTGAAGGACCCATTTCCTTCTTAATACCCGACTATGCCGGTCTACCGTTTATTATAATATTTATGCACCTGTGGAATCTGATTTTATTATTACTGTCAAATGTTACTACGCCTAATTCTGAATCCCAATTCATCGTATATTATAATAATAACTATGTACTTATGAAATTGGTATTACTCCGTAGTAACTGGCTTACTACATCTCCCCCTTTAAAAGTTGATTTTTATCGTCTAAAATGAGAAAAATTAACTCAGTCATCCCTCCATTAGTTCAAGCACTTCCATGTGGTTACAAGTTACATATATAAATTATTTCATTACATTCAATTATTACATGTTTACATAATATGTTTGTTACAGATATTTAGTTATATTATTGAATTATATGGTACATTACACCATACTTTTCTGGTTATATTTATTAAATGTTATTGACAATTACAAATTATATTCCACAATATTACAGTATATATTTTACTTATTATCTAGGTTAGTATATTATGTGATTAACAATATATTTTTTTTCGTTTTTGTTTTACAACAATAATCTTATCTTAGTGTTAATATAGTATAAATTAATCCTTTAATATAATATGAATTCTTAAAATCTATTACAATATATTTTTTTTTTTCGTGCAATATATATATACGATAAAATAGTGGTGTACTGGTGTGTTATATATTTTTTTTTTTTTTTTCATTACAATGTTAATTATATTTTAAATAAATTAGATTAATATATTTCTTTTCCCATCACCATGTTAATTAAGTCCAATATAATATGCTAATATGTTCCTTTATGTATTGTATATTATTCTATAAAGAAATTTAATCCTAAATTTTCCTTTTTTTTTTCATTTTTTTTTTCATCATTTTTTTTTTCTACGCTTACGTTTGTTCCTATATATATATTTTCCATTAATCGTTATATTATTATATTTTATATCTAGTTAATATTACTATTCCTATACTGTGATTTGATTATATCTTTTTACTACAGGTCCAGACCAAGCAATTAACTATTGTATTTAAGTTCCATTACATGATCGAGACAAGTACTAAATTGATTTTATTCTATTCTATTTGGTATGTGTTTTTATCTTGCTAATCGAACCCGTGACGTTAGAGTGTGCTGAAAATCGAAGCACCCTCTTCCGACACAGGCTAAATTAACAAGACCTTGTCCTTGTAACTTCTTATTGAGTTTTATTGGCCATTTGATCCGTTGGTGTTTCCGTTAAAAATCCGTTATACACACGATTTTCGAACCAACCACCAAACGATCAAACTCCAATATTTTCCTTAAGTTGTCAAACCGTTCGGTATATAATAGCGCAACATTTATCTATTCCCAATAATAATAGATTAAATATGTCCCCATTATGTACCGCTCGATTTCTAGTCGTATTTTTTTTTCCTGTTTTTATTCTGAAATTAATTTATTTTAGATTACTATTTTAGCTCTAATTTAATTATTTACTAGTATCTATCGTTACTTCCTGTTCTTTTATTTACTTTAATGTGTTAATTAAGCTATTTGTTAGTTGCCAAAATAAAAATAAAAATTCGTTAAAAATTATATTTATTATTATTAATAATATTAATACGTGTTCTATTTCTAATTACTATTTCTAACTACTCATGTAAATATACTTTTTTTTTATATTTTCTACTTAATTAATTATACTTATAGTATATTCTAAATAATAAAATAATCCTATATAATTTATTTTATTTGGGGTGGTACATCCTCCCCTTCAAGTGGATTTCGTTCGTTTACCTTTTTTAATTTTTGTTCAATTTGTATATTATCCGCGCAGAGTTTACTTTTACCTACTCGTACCATTTCATATTGTGGTCGCCTTAATGAAGTGAGCCTGCATTTATATGTTATATATATAAAAATGATTAGCATTATTGAGAATACTATCAAGCCCAATGTTAAATAAAATAAATAATTACGCGTATCAGTCGCTTCTAGCTGTCCTGATTGTGTTAATATTTCATTATCAATTTGTTGTTGAACATGGTCTAACGATTGTGCTATTTCGTGTATTTTTTCGAGTTTATGTGAATCTGGTTTAATTATTACTTTAGGCAAGTTCATACTTTTTATTCTATCGGATACCTTAAATGATATTTTTCCCTGTCCTACTTCGGGTATAAAGTTAACATAGTGTTTCGACTTTATTTCTTGTGTCGTATTTAATATAATATCGTTCCCGTACGCTCTACATTTTGAACTTAACCAAATTAATCCTTGTTTTCGTATTTTCGTAATGTATGGTTCCGCATTTTCCCTACACGCGATAGTTAATGTTTCTCCCTTTGTTGTATATATCCAAGTGTTCGCATGTTTTAATTTGTAAAATATGTCTTTCGATAATACTAATACTCCCGTCTCGCATGTTTCTGGCAAGACATCCGGATTTTTGAATAAAGCTATTTCACATGGGTTTTTGTTGTTTGAGTGAACAACTGGTGAAAATTCTGGACATATCGTAAATATTTCTGTTTCCGTACAATGCAAAAGTTGAGTTTCCGTGAATGTGGTATATTGTTCCCTATTCTTTGTAATCGCTACATATTGGAATTCTGGTTTTAAAACAATACTATGATTTTTATTCTTTATTCCATTAATCATTGTTTCAACCGGTTGTGGTATTGGAAGTATTCTGAACAACGTGAGTTCTAATTCGGTAACCAGCGGAAGCTTTATTACGAAAACGATTTGACTGTCTTTATAGAACACTGCCATTTTTGTAATTTTACTTAATTCGTAGATTTCATTCGGATTTGTGCCCATAGGCAAATTTAAATTAATCGGTAAATTTAATTTAATCTGTGTTAAATGATTTGCCAGTTCACGCGGTGTCATTAAACTTGGATGTATTACTCCTGTCCTAGCCGCGGTTATAATAGCGCCTATCGATTGTGTTTCCATTGAATACTGCGATAATAATGCTGTGAATATACCATGTATCTTATTTGATAAAATTAATGATTCTAAAGTGTTTGTCTTATTAATTATTTCGTTTATTATATCTTTTTTGTTTACTAATTCATTGTATAATTTACTTATTTCATCAGATGTAGTACTAATACCCTTTACAGTAGATTTAACTACCGTGGTTTGATCCTTAAGTATGTGTAACATACGTTCGTTAGTTTTTTCTATTTTTCCTATTTCTTCCACTGATTCTTTCGCACATTCCTCGTCACATACCCCGAATAGTGTTTTCATAGCCGAACCTACGAAATTTATTAGACCCCGTCTTTTCCTACTTGGAAATGTGGTAGGTTCCGATTGCTCGGCGTACCCAGGGCCGGCGAAAGGGGGGTGCATGGGGGGGTGTGACACCCCCCCAAACTCGGTAGTTAGATTTCTGAGTCGGCAATTTGACGATTTTATTCCCAAGTCGGCAAACAAGTTTTTTTTTTCTAATTATTTTATTTCATTAATATTAATTGCCATATAACCGTATGGGTATGATAAATGATAATATGTGATTATCGTAATATTACTAAATATATCATACTATCATGTGCTATAATTATGTAAACGAAAAATCATAAAAATATAAATTAGTATTGGGGTATTCCGGGTATTCGGCGTAACTACTATCTACAGAGAATTTTATTACACTAATACACTATTATATGTTTTGAATTTTGGCCAAGTTTGGTCGGCACTCGGCAATCGGCAACGGCATACGCGCGTCGGGCACTCGGGTAGTCGGGTGATTTGTGTGACCATGACCAACGTGACTGTTCCAGTGTTGCATAGATAATATTGTAAGACTTATGGACTGTCGACCACGATTATCTATAAATATCTTTAATCGTACTGTCAGTAGACTGTCGACTGAACGACAGCTGCTTGTCTATGGATTACCAATATCACGTAACAAATAATGATAACAATAAAACAATAACAAATCAACTAATTTAATGAAATTATTATTTACATTGATTAATGATTATATTACTATCGTATTATTCGTATTATTTCCGATTTCGTTAATTCAAAATTGTTTTATAACTTTTTGTAATTTGTTATTGTTTATAAGTTCTGTACTACTGTTGTGACTTGTTGTGAATTTAAAAGAATAAAGCCAAATATGAACATGAACACAAACAAAAAAAGAAAGAGGACTAAATTAGTATGTTTAAAATGTGGTAGTACTTTTGACGATGATTATAAAAAAAAACATGAATTGACTCAACATGGAGGGGAAAAAGTTAGGGTGAAACATTTAGGAGCTCCAGATAACCCTTTTATTCTTGCATCATCAAAAAAAAAATGTACTTTGGATTCAACATCAATGTCATCAATGCATAATATGGAGGTAGTACACATTATATTTATTGTTTTTATTAAAAACAAATTTCTACCAATAGTCATCATACTCATAGATTATTACCTATTATGGTTTTATTAAATTACAGGAAAATAACAAGAATGATTCTCAACCTACTAATTCTGAAATCATTGATTTTTCCTCTATTTCAACAACAATATTGGAAGAAGATATTGAAAAGGTATATAATAATAATATATACATTTAATTAATAAAATTAAAAATATCCACACAATATATTTTTGTTTTTTAAATTTAGAAAAATGGTCACAGTTCTACAGATGAAAAAATACTTAATAAAAGTTCATTATCTCCAATAAAACCTGAATCAATTAATATAGAATCTGATGTAAGTTTTATGGGTGGTGGTGTGGTGTTTTACAATATATTGTATTACTTAATTTTACATCTTACATGCATCAGTTTATTATACTATAGTAGTTAGTAGTTGAATATATACACCTAATATATACCTAATACAAATTAGGTTAAAACAAAACCAGTTGAGTTGGAGATAAACACTACAGACATGGTTGAAAATGTAGAAAATAGTTTTAAAATAATTAATGAACATTTAGAAAATTCAAATATTATCTTGGATAATAGCAGTGGCACAGGTAAAAATTATTTTTGTATGCGTTTTACTAGTTTACTACCTTCATTGATATTATCTAATTTATCAAAAAATAATAATTTAAGATAGGTTATATTAAAAATAACTATTAATTATTTCAGAAAGTAGCAGTTGTGCTTATGATTGGGTTGCTTGCGCTGGAATGATTGAATCGCTTATAAATAGCTTTCAGGACTGTAGTATGCTTTTAAAAAAACTAAAAACTGAAAATGCTCCAAATCCAATTTCTTTTTTAGTTTCTACTTCTCATATAATATCTTCAATTAAAGCAGAATCTGAAAAATACTTATCCATAAGCAATTTAGTCTTAAACTCCTTAGTATCGCTTTCACAAGTTGCACCAAAAGAAAATGTTGACTATTTTCTTGAGCATGATCCTGGTAAACGATCAGTCGTAAAAACATCTTCTCAAAGGAAATATCTTTTAAGTTTGGGGCCACATCAACCCAAACTTGCAAAATTTCCAAAAAACTTAGATATAACACCCGGAAAGCAATGCCAATTTAGTTCATTGTGGTATAATGAATACCCTCATTTAGAATATAGCTTAATTAAAGATGCTGCTTTTTGTTTTATTTGCACTTTATTTCCAAATGGGCCTAATAGAAATTATTCTGATTCTGCTTGGAGTGAAATAGGTGTCCGTTCTTGGCATAAGATGAAAGGAAGAGGAATTAAAAAACCTGGGAAACTTCATCAGCATTTCACATCAAATGCTCATAAATCAGCATTAATAGATTTCAGAAATTTCTTAAATTTTTCCGGCCATATTGAATGCATTCTTAATAAGAAAAATAGAGAACAAGCAATTAATGATGAGCACCAAAACAAATTTAATCAAGAAGTGCTAAACATACTATTTGATATTACTCGTATGCTTTCAAGACAAGGTCTTGCATTTAGGGGTGATGGAAGTGAAGAAAATGGTAATTTTAATCAAATTGTGCTTTTATTATCTAAACATAATGCTGTATTAAAAAAGTGGCTTGATGATAAAGCATTTAGAAAACATAATGTCACTTATATGAGTCATGATTCACAAAATGAGTTTATCGACTTATTAAGTAATGAAGTAAAAAAAAAAATCGACTTATTAAGTAATGAAGTAAAAAAAAAAAATTATTCAAGAAGTAAAAGAAGCAGATATATATTCGGTGATGGCAGACACCACACCTGATATTTCACATCGAGATCAGCTATCAGTCTGTGTTAGGTATGTGAATGCGGCTGGGGAAATATCGGAAAGGCTCCTGGAAATAATTGAAGCATCAGACAAAACTGGATTAGGTATCGCAGAAACAATTGAAAGTGTCATAATTAACAATGAATTGCCCCCAAAAAATGTTGTTTTTCAATCATATGACTTTGCCAGCAGTATGTCTGGCAAAATAAATGGCACACAACAAAAATTGTCAGAACTACTAGGCCACACTGTTTTGTTTATACCCTGTCAAGCCCACAGAATAAATACTTTTCTTGAACACAGCTGCAATGCAAGTGTTATAGTTGGAGATTTATTTTTGGTACTCGAACATATGTATGTTTTCTTTTCTTCAAGTACAAAAAGATATGCTCATTTGCAAAAAAGTCTGTCTGAAATTGAAAATTCTTTACAGTTACGTAATTTATCGAAAACAAGGTGGACAGCCCGAGCAGAGTCAATAAAAGCTGTATGGGTTTCATTTGACTCAATTGTAAAAACACTAGAAGAAATGTCTACAGCCCAGTACTTTGACAAAAACACAAGATCTCAAGCTTTAGGAATCACCAAAAAAATACTCACATTTGACTTTGTAGTATCACTATATTTTATGAAAAACGTGATGTATAAAATGAAAATTTTAACTGAAAGTTTTGAAGCCAAAGATCTCAACATAATTGATGCTCTAATGCTATTAAATAGTTCTACTGACATTTTCAATGATATTAACAATGATTCGATAGGCATGGATAATTTGATTGATAGTTCTATTAATTATGCACATCAATTAAACATTAATCCTGAATCTGATTTCAACAAAATACACAGGAGAAGACTATTGCCAAAAAGATTAGATTCTAATCCAAGTTCACAGGCAATATTTGATTTAAAAACTTTCTACAGATCTGAATTTAAAAAAGTTTTAGATACTCTGACAACATTAACTTCCGAACACTTAAAAAAATGCATTGCTACTGTTGAACCATTATTTAATCTTTTAAAAGTGCCTTTGAGTAATAAACATTCAGCAGAAGACTTTGAAAAGATAATAAATTTATTCCCTCCAGGATGTTCTGTATCCAATATTAAGGATTTTGATGCAGTTTATTCTGAATATCTTGTGCTGGCTCACCGTTGCAAGGACGCTAAAAACGTTTTGGATATCTTAAATGTATCAGAAATGTATAAAAATATTTTGCCTAATATGAACAAGATATTAAGATTAATGTTTACAGCCCCTGTAAGTACAGCCTCCAATGAACGAGCGTTCAGTAAACTAAAACTAATAAAAAACTTTTTACGATCTACCATGAATGCTGACCGTCTTCAAAATTTAATGTTACTTAATACTAATAAGGATATTTTAGATACAATTGATACCATGGTGCTCGTGAAGAAGTGGTCCCATTTGAAACATCGTAGAATAGAAGTATAATAGTATAGGAAACTTAAGTATAAGTATAAGAAACTAATCAAAAATTGTAAATGTTATTATGAAAAAATATATTGAAAATATAATGTTTAATGATATAATTTATAGTTGTTTTTATTTATTGTTATTTTATAAGTTTTTGAAAAAGACGCCATTTTTTGCATTTGGGGGTCGGCAAATTGTATACTTCGAGTCGGCAAATTTTTAATTCCACCCCCCTATAAATTTTTGGTAGCGCCGGCCCTGGGCGTACCTACCTATCGATTCGTACATTTTCTCGCGTTGTAATGAAATTTCCTGAAACATTACTTTAAAAATATTGTCTAGCCTAGAACACATTTCTAATGCTGTCGCGCTATTCTTGCAAAGATCAGTTATTATACTTATTTCCGTTTGTAATTTGTCATGCCTAAGGTCGTAATTTTTTAATGGTAAATACGTGATTAGTTGCCAGGTCGCTCCTGTCAATCGAACCGTACCATAATTTTCATAATACATCAATGTTTGATTTCGAAATTCTTCCACCCTATATGGATTTTGACCTTGCCCTGCCGTAACCAGAGACAACCTAAAACAATATATATACATTTTAGTTCAAACTCGTTTTAACTTGTTGAAATAATTTCTAATATATATATTATTTCGTATCATCTCGCCGGCTCGGACAAAATACGCGCATTTATCGCATTTAAAATTGAACTAATTAATTTATAATTCGTTGTCAGTGAGTTCCGGTGGTTGCTTGTTCGTTCAGAATATGGTGGCAACTCCCACCGTTCCTATACCGCCAACTATCAAAATTAATTAGTATCATTCTTTTTTTTTTTTTTTTTTAATTATTGGTTTTCATTATTCCTATTTATATAATATCTATTTTCTACTTCATTAAAAATACTTTCTATAGTTAAATTATTTTCTACATTAAGTAAATCCATAACATCGTTTTCATAATTACTACTACGTATATTCCTAATATTGTCAATATTACTATCGTTATCGCTAAAATCGTCCAACTCGTCCATATTACTAATTGTACTATTAGGTGCTATGTATCTTAAATTATTACTATCACTATCACGATCACTATCTGACCACCACAGATCAGCTGCTTCAGTCATATTTCTAATACTATCATTATTACTAATACTACGTAACATACTTCTATTTCTAATGCTAGGCGTCCTACTATTACTAACCAACTCCCTATTAGTGCTATTATTATTACTAATATTATCATTACTAACATTATTTCCGTCATTATTATCATCTAGTAATCTACACAACCTATAGCTATTAACGTTCAAATAATGTGCCCATGCTTCCTTGTTTATTTCCTTATTTAATTCCCAAAACTCATTGATGACCCTTTTTGCCAGTGCTATATTGTTATTCAATTGTTGTTCATTTTCACTTCCCATGAGTGCAGGTGGTTCCGTTCGATTGTAGACTATACTTGCTACGCCTACGGGCTTAGCTCCGCCTACTCCCGGTATCCGGTTTACATCCAGGTGGTAACGAAATGGCGTTGTCGATACATTACATGCGTAAGGGTTTCGGAACCAACTCCATAACCCTTGACATAGTTCCACTATCTCCGGTTGTGGAAACCTACCGGGAAGGATGTTACCTCGATCTCCATAGTAAACATCAATTAATGCCCTAAGGTTATGTGTAACTTGTCCCATAGGTTCCTCCCCTGTATAGCGAAACAGTTGTAACTCGCATATGTAACTATCATTTTTTTTTAACACCATTACCACCAGACGACCTCCCGCCTGCACACTCATTATCATTTCAAACTCCGGGTCTTCATTTGCATTTCCGTCGAATTGTACTATAGTGCGGCCAGCGAAACTAGAAGCTTGACTGTCACGCTCCCGGTGGCCATTTTTCATTAGGGCTACGAAGAATGGTTTCCCGCGTATAATAATTTCAAACACTTGTTATACGTGCGCGTATCGTATATTTATACGCGTGGCTATGAAACGGGTCTTTACTTTAAAGGCATAACAATTTATACTTCTGTATAACACATTTTTTATTAATTTATTATCAAATTTTCAAACATAAAATAATAATAGTAACATTTAAAATATTTACAATTATTTACGAAATTTAATAATAAACATAAAAATCTATTCATCGTCATCGTCATCATCGTCGCTTGAACTGCTGTCGTCTGGATAAATTGTTAAAATTATTGGCTCTAATATTTCGTCCCTCAGTCCTGCTTTGTGGAAATCCTCCTCTTGAATTTTCACGCAATGTTCTCCACATTTGGCCCAATCATCAGCAGTTACCGCATCAATTTCTTTATGAACGAGTGCCTTAACATCAGCAATTTTAAATGTTGAGTTTTTTTCAGCCACTCTCCCTTTAAATTGTGCCCAAATCAATTCTATGGGATTATACTGACAGTGGTAAGGTGGAAGTCTCACCACTTCATGCCCCATTTGGTGTGTCAATTCATCCAACTTATAAATTTTTCCACGCGGCATCGCAAGTTTGACTTTCGCCCGTAATTCGTCAAGAGTTTCGACGGGAGAAAAGTCTATATTTTTGCCACGCAACCATTGCTGAACATCCGTTTTTTTACTATTTGACTTCGGGTAGTCTTCGAGTAATGCAGAATGGTATGACGCGTTGTCCATTACAATGATACTGGGCTCCTCCAAATTCATCAACATTTGCAAATACCACTTTTCAAAAATTGTAGCATTCATCTGTGAATGATAATCTTTGGTATTGCCAGAGTTACAACGAAAAATTAATTTTGCGTCTTTGACAAAACCAAAGGAAGGAGACCCAGCGTGACAAACAATAAGGCGACTGCCTTTCCCTGTAGGTACTTTTAAGCCCTCTGTATTCTCCTGGTTTTGCCAAATATGTCCCCGAGTATGATTTTGGTTAACCCAGGTCTCGTCTAAATAGACTATTGGCCGAATATCACCATTTGTACAAAGCTCGTTCATTTTACGTAAAAATTTTACGCGCGCAGCTACTATGTCCGACCGTTCCATAAGAAATTTGCGACCGTCGTTACACCTTTTGTACTTAAAATTAAGTTTTTTCAAAATAATTTTTACCGATGATTTCGACCCCCGGTAATCAGTTTTTTCTCGCAATGCTGCTAAAATTTTTGCGCTTGTTGGAAATTCTCCTTTATCATAAAAGCTGTGAACCACTCTTCTAACCACTTCACTGTCGAAATCGTCAAGATTGGTGACAGGTTTGTCACGACTATAACGTTTTCTAGGTGATCGAAATTTAATATCCGTAGAACTTCCGGTACCTAACTCTTCTTCATCACCCAAAGATATAGTTTTGCTTTCCTTACAAATTCTCTGTACAGTAGACCGACTTACCCCACAAGCCTCAGCCGTCCTCTCTTGACATAATCGGAAAAAATTTGCTACTTCCGGCTGGTCTTTTTTACTGGCCAACGTTTTAAAAAAATTGTACACGTTGTATATGGTTTTTTTGGTTTGTGAATGAATATCTGGCCGGGTCGACATTTCAAATAAACAATATACGCATAAAAATAATGAAAAACCGCAAAAAAAAACAAAAATGTACAAACAAACAATATGTAACAGCTGTACAAGAAATTCGTAACAAACTCAATTCAAATTATAACAACCAGCACACACAAAAAACATGTTACACGAAGCAAAGAAGTCCAGTGACTAATATACAGATCATACAACATATGGTTTAATGGTTAGAGGTTTGTATTAAAATCTAAAGGTATTCGGCATGGGACGGTCACACAATAGCATTATACGTTATAGGGCATAGGCTATTGTACATTTTCGGAGGGTACTCAAAATTGTTTATAAAACAGCTATAACAGCTTCAACGCTTGTCTGCATCCTTAGAAAAAAATATAAAACTAACCTAACATATCCACTATAATAAAAAATATTCATTTCGATAAAAAGATCGCGCAGCTGCACAAACAACCTAAATATTTAGAACCCCTGGCTTTCACGAAAACGGTCACCGGGAGCGTGACCATCATGCTTCTAGTTTCGCTGGCCGTACTATAGCAGTCTGGTTCCATCTGAATCAGTGATCACCAGTGCCGTTATCTCCTCTTCCCTACAAGATCTTTCATTTCAATAATATGCTTTGTTATTCTAAAATAATCCAAACTACTATTGCGTTAACTACTTCTATAAAATTAATTTCTAGCTACGTTATTTTTTCTACAATGAAGCTTGTACTAGGCTAATTTGTACTAATCTACTAGGAATCTATTACCATGCATATTTTACTCTACAGTAAAATTTTTCTTAGACTATGACTATTTATTATATCCTATCATTAGTTCTATTCTATATTTTATCCTATCATTTGTACTATTCTTAATTCGTATATTAATCTACATATTCCAACAATATTTCTGGTTCCGGTATATACTCCATGTGTTCAACTAATTCTTGACAATATTGGTTACCGACTCTGCCCCTTGACATGTCGTAGAGAAATGTTGCGATGCTTTGTTCCATCCTTCTTATTTTGTCGTCCGAGAATGGTTCAGCTAGTTGACTGTTCGCTAATTGTATATGTTTTGTTAAACATGGTGGTATATTACTTCCGTCGCCTATTGTACATTTTTCATGTTCCCCATTCATAATGGCGAAATCCAGTTCGATACAGAATAATTTGTATGTCTCCCTATATTTAGATTTTTCTATTATTTAATTGTATATTACCTAACACTATCTAATCTTAATTTATTTTAATTTTATTT